ACCCCACGTAACGCGAACCATTTTTGCGATGTTTACCTTCGCACCGCAATGAGCCGGCCCAAGTAGATTGCCCCCCTGTGCGATTGGGCGACTACTTGCCGCAAAGAGCGGCATATAGGAGGTCCCTTTTACACAGACCGTAATCTACACCGTTTGGGCCTCAGAACTCCTCTTGCAGGCACTAAAAAAAGGTAGTCCTAAATCTGATATGGGCTTTGACTCTGTTTGGGCACACCTGAACATTTTAATTTAACGGGTTTAACCGGTTTAACCTACACAGAAAGTTGGCCCAGATCCTTTCGGGCTAAAGTTTGGGTAAGCCACGGGCTCCGTGCGTGCCTACGCCGGCCGCTGACTCCCTCTCCTCTAGCTATCCGTCCCCGCCGCCGATCTTCGCTCGTCCTCCGGCGACCTATGTCTGCGGCTGTGATGCAGGCCACAGCGCCCGTAGGGCGCAGCGGCGGAGCGGAGATTGCGTACGTTAGCTACGGCGGTGAGCAGCACCTCTCACTGGTGATGTCGCTGGTGGACGCGGAGCTCAGCGAACCCTACTCCATCTTCACCTACCGCTACTTCGTCTACCTTTGGCCACAGCTCACCTTGCTCGTACGTATTTACTTTCTCTTTTCACTCTCCCTCTCGCGCTGCTGAAAGTATGTGGGTTTGGTATATTCTTGATGGTTTCTTGGTTTGTCGGGCCGATTCGTCGGAAGGCGTTTGATGCCAAGGATGGTAAGTGCGTGGGGACAGTGGTTTGCAAGATGGGGGAGCACAGAGGCGCCTTCAGGGGGTACATCGCCATGCTCGTCGTCCTCAAGCCCTACCGAGGACGAGGAATCGGTGAGTTCATTTAGATTTATTTATAAAAAAAATCCTTTGATTTTAATGCTATAGTTCATCACTTGTTGCTAGGCGATGTGGGGTCTTAGAATCTTGCTATTGTATGTCTAAGGGTGGCAGTATTGACTTGGTGAGCTTTATGGAAAGACAATCTTTCTTACTGAGTTTGCTAGTCGTAGAGATCTTACTTGTGTATAGTTTTACTTCAAGGATTTCATCTTGTCCAGTGTATTTAACTGCTAAGACTCTGTTCACTCTCGTATAAGGGTGTGGTTTTTCGTTTTTTATGTTTTTGCAAGGTTGCAATATTGAATCCTATAGCAGGAACACACAATTAATGGTTATTGCTTCCCAAAAGAAACGTCAGGTTTAGTGTTGTTACATAAGCATTTGATTCATTGCAAGGCGCTCTTTGGCTTGTTTCATTTAGTATTTTATAGATTAGGGATAGGCATTGTGCTTACTGTGAAAAATGTCCAAAGTTCTCTGGTTGTTTCATTTATTTTGTTTGAATTGGAGCAATTTTTATGCTTGCAGTTAGATTTTATCTGCTTCGTCCATCTGAAAAGGAAACATTTTCTCTTTGCTTCCGATTATGTTCAAAAGAAGCACTGTAATTTCTGAATATGATGTGCTCTGCAACCCGAACCGATTTATGACTGACATGCTGCATGTTCCCAGCATGCATCTGCAATCCTTCTCCCTCTTTATTCTAAAAGTGACTCCTAATGCAGCATCCATTCTAAGACACATGACCCTAAAAAGACCAGTCTTTAGATTATATGGAGGATCAATCAAGTCTGTTATATCTTGACAGTTAGGGCCTACGAACAGTCATCTCCTTCGGTTAAATGACACACCCCCTGGTGAAAGGATGTCTCTTTGTGGAAAGATACATCCCTTGGTGAAAAGGTGTGCTGGCGAAATGATATCTCTTTGCGGAAAGACATTAAAAAGGAATAAAAAGAAGCATAATAATTGTTAGATTAACACATTAAAAAAATCAGTTTTTAACTTCCCAGAAGATGTGACCATTGAAACTGCCTTAACTGTGCCAGAAAACTAATGTACTAAGGATAAGGTGCCTTTTTTGGTCCCATTTTGGCCAACAAGTATGGAGTGGCAGAGTTATCTTTTCAATGTAACAACCAACCATCTTTCATGGATTACCATAGGCTTTATTTCGCACAACCAATAGGAGCTCTACCTATTGATTACGTAGAAACTAGATTTGGCCGGTTATTAAGGGTTACTCGCAGAAAACAGAGGGAATCCGTATGTTTCCCTTGGTATTCTTATGTTTTTGTGAGATCATGTTCCTTTTCTTTGTTGTGTTTGCGTAAGTTCGTTTCATTAGTTATTATGACTAACATGAGTTATCTTTCTCCAAATTCACCTTTTTTTTTCTTGATCACTTTACATGTTTACCTTGCATTATAGAACTACATTTGGCTTAGTATTGTAATACAAACATGTTGGGTTAGCACAGTTTTCCTGCTCTTGTCCAAAGAATCCTTTTATCTGCTGTTAGTTTCAATATGAGAAAAACATACAACCAACCAGTCACTAGCACCTGGTGGCATTGTCTAAAGAAGAACGACTGAGACACCAGTCACTACTAGTAATCGTGTATGTGCAATGCATGTTAATATTAGGCAATATATATTAATTGCATTGCACATTAATCGTGTATGCGCATATTAGGCAATATATTAATTGCATTGCACACTAATATTTGACAAGATCTTAATTACACATTGATATTTGTGTAGGATATAATTAATTGGTTAGCGCTAGCATGGATATTGGGCATGCTATTAATTAAGGGAGGATTGTGTGAGGGAGGTGGTGGCTACGTGACTGGGGCAGGACGCGTGTGGGGCTGTGGCAGAACATTGAATATGAGCCCTTGGATTGGATGGCAGACCACAGAAGCAATATCAACTCTTAGATTTAATTAGATAGATTAGATCAGGGTGTGGTTTGTTCTGGGTGCACTAATTTTGGTGGCTTTAGAAGAATTAGAACTCGCACTTTTAGAAGTAAGTAGAGATAGAGGTGGGGAATAAATTCTAGCCGGTGGGAGTCGTCGAACTCTGGTGGTCTGACTGCTGCTGTGCACAGTTTTAATATGTTGCTTGTGTTGTAGAATTTATTAATCTTAGTCCATTATTTATGAGTAGGGTCTTCTAATGCATTTGTTTATTTGCTTTTTTTAATAGAAAGAAACAGCTAGCTATGTGCACCGGGCTGCCCTTTAATGAAACAGCTATGTTAAGTATTTTATTGTGCTTGTTTAACTTTGGGTCTGCTTCATTTGCAGAAAGAAAGGTGTATTTATTTGCTTAGTTCTTGGATGCTATGTTTATTTCTTGACGAACTGACATGTCTATGCTAGCCTTGCTAGGTTTCTTTCTTGACAATTGGCATGCCTTTTTGTGCTGCCTTCTCTTGATCTATATAATGTTCGTTCGTTAAGTGCTATTGTGATGTCATTAGTTGCAACTTGCAACCGCTATGTGCATTATTATTTATGCAAGAACTTAGCAAAAGTTGTTGGTTATCTGTGTTACATACTGAAGTTATATTCTGCACCATTCTTCATACGTTGAGTTTGTTCTGGAATAAATGGATTTCATATGGCAGCTCAATCTCTGACAAAACAGATATCAGTGCATTGTTGCTAAATATAACGAAGATGCTCAGTTGTCTAGTACTTCAAATATTGTAATGTAGTAATGCGGCGTACCATAATCTTTGTCAACTCCTTGCAATTTCAGCATTCCAGCTTATCCCCTTGCATAGGAATCGTCATACTTTTTACCTTACAGTTTAATGTGTTATGTTGTATATTAGGCTGATCTAACATGTATTTCCTCATGCTACAGCAACTGAGCTGGTTACTAGAGCCATTCGGGTAATGATGGAATCTGGTTGTGAGGAGGTAATTATACTACAGTTCTGTTGGTCTGTCTTTTCTAACATTTCATTCGTTTTTGATATTTTGTCATCTGAGAAACATATCAGCTATTACATATCCTACTTTTGTGTTTGTTGTTTATTTGTTTTGGTTATGGATGTGGTTCATAGCCTCTTTGAAAAGAAAAGGGAAAGAGGATTGACATCTGACTCACGCAGTCCCTTGATTGTCCCGCAGTTACCAGAATAACCTATTTGCCTTAAGAATGTGAATGATTGGAGTATTTGACATGTGACTCGTGTGCAATCCAGGTGACACTTGAAGCAGAGGTTACAAACAAGGGTGCCCTCGCTCTGTATGGCCGCCTAGGTTTTATCCGAGCAAAGAGGCTGTATAGATACTATCTAAATGGCGTGGATGCTTTTCGCCTCAAATTACTGTTTCCACGCCCCGATCTTGGTCTAGATCCAATGATGATGCTTGGTGACGAGAGGGATGGTCAACACATGGATTCCCCTTACTTGTGATAATATCCTGATCAAAAGCGGAAGATGGAAGCCAAGCTGTTATTTTTGTTGTGTTCTTTGATACTTTCATGTCTACATGACATGTAGTAGCGATTTTCTTTTTTGAGAAACAAGTGGTTTTCGGCACTAGTGCTCCTGGTAATTTTGAAACCCTGAAAAGGGCATTAGTAGAAGATCCAAAAATGTCGGAATATTTTTTCACGTGTAAACGTGAGAGTACCCTCTCGGCGACCAATATTGTCATGGATCTTTTTTTAACACAGTGCAAATGTAAATTGGGGGGCTTCCGATATCTCGATGTCGTTTATGACCTGCCTGAACCTGTTCATGGCACGCTTATAGATCCGGGCGTTACTTTTTGTTGAAGTTGAATAACTCACTTAAATCATATGTACATGTTTCAAACGTATAATTTGATTTACCTTATTTTTCTTTTTCTTAAACCGTTCACCAGTGACAGCTGTGTATGCAAAGACCTGTGGTTGTTATCTTTTTTGGGACAAAGAAGGGACTCGTTCATCGGTAACACGGAGAGCGCAAAGACCTCTGGTTATTACGTATCTTTTTTCGAAGAAGAAGAAGGGACTTGTTCATCTGTAACATGGAGAAGGCATTTCACAATTTACAGCCGACACAACAACAACAACAAGAACAAAAAACCTAATCGATTTACTTGCCAATATACAACCAATGATTACAATGTGTCCAACTCATCATATCAAGACAGTAGAGGCTGGCGCCTCTCCGGTACCGGCGTCAGAAAGATCGGAGGTCACCTTCCCGTGACACGGCCTATGTAACTTGCTAAGCATAATATTACAAACCAAAACACGCACACGGAATTGTATGAAGGCGTGGCGTGGTTCACACGTAGAGAAAGCGGACGGACGTTTAGTCATGGAGGATCATCGTGTGTGTGTGTGTGTGTGTGTGTGTGTGTTAATAACATAAGAGTTACTAGTTAATAGACCATGTCGTCGCGGACGACGCTGGCGAGGGGCGGGTGCGCGTAGGGGCCCTTGAGCCAGGTGTTGGCGATGAAGCGGTAGGGCGCCTCGGTGAGGTGGATGCCGTCCCAGCTGACATGCGCGTCGGGGTCGTCGCACACGGTGGCGCCGGGCAGCCCGCACGACGAGCTCATGTTGTAGTTGTACGGGCCGCCGCCGCCGCAGCACGCCCTCAGGGCGCCCCTCTTATACCCTGCATCACAAATCTCGTTATTACTCCTACAACATTATCTTGGGCAATACTTTTTTTTTTGCGAGTGAATACTCTCTTCTTTCGGCTCTAGTCCTTTTGTCTTGTGTACTTAAAGAGTTGTCTTTGCGTAATGAGTGAGCGTGCGATGAGACCACACTTAGGGCTCGTTTGGTAAGTCGAGATCCACCCGGGATCCCCTTAATTTCCCTGGGTAGAAAATCCCGATCTCAGCACACCAGAAGAATTTTCCCCATCTCTCCACCTATCCCCGATGGGATTTGCTTCCCTGGGAAATATTCGCCGGCCTACCAAATGAGCCCTTAAGGAGTACTAAGATGAGGTAAGGCAGATGGCATTTGTGTCCCTAATAATGGGGCGGCCGATACAGTGCCAGGTTGGCCTGAGCAGGGATCGAACCCGGTGTTGTGCCACCACCACTTCGTGAGGAACAGCTATGCGTGCGTGTTGCGTGTGGCGTGTTGGCAGGTGAAGTCACAACGATGTTGCTCTGGCCTCTGACACAGGCGTATCTACAACGCCATCACTCTCCACTGTCCTACTCCTAGGAACACCAGCCTTGTTGCCCTGGCCCTGGCCCTGCCCGAGATCCCCGCGCGACCCAATCATAAGACTACTGGTACTAGTACCAAAATGACGGTGCACACTCACTGCCCGCGGCGGCCTTGTGTGTGGAACTGACATGCTAGCGCGTGACCAGCCCTGAGAGGCTGAACCTGGAAGTAACAGCCACAAAGGTGGCCGGTGCCCCCTTCCCCATTGAAACAGAGGAAGCAAGTAGAGTAGGAATCAATCAATCAAATCAGAGGAGGAGGAGGAGGAGGAAAAGGGAGGAGGCTGACCGTAGAGGTGAGGCGTGCGGGCGAACTGGATGTAGGGGGTGTAGTAGTCGGCGTAGATGATGCGGGCGTCCGGGCGGCGGCGCTGGAGCTGGTCGAGGGCGATGCGGAGCATGGCGTTGTGGTAGAGGGCCACGCTGTTGAACTTCTTGAGGCAGCCGGTGCGCGGGTCGTAGTCGCTGCGCTCCTCGGACGCGTACATGGTGAGCGTGATGGGGATGCAGCCGGCGGGGAGGTTGCCCGGCACCACCACGTGCCGCGCGCCCTCCTCCAGGACCGCCTCGATGCCGCCGATCATGGACTCCACCACCTTGGGCACCATCTCCGTCTTCACCTTGTCCAGGCTCCACTCCGCCTTCCACGCGAAGCTGTAGTCGTTGCCGCCGAACTCGCCGAACACGAAAAGCGCCTTGCCGAAAAACTCCTTGCACTCTGCACAGAATAATCGATCCCGTTGGTTTTTTTGTTTTTGTTTTTGTTGTTTACTAGTAGCGGCGCTAATTAACATACCTTGCGGGGAGGAGCAGACGGTCTCCTTGACCTCCTGGAACCACTCGAGCTGGCACTTCATGGAGGTGTTGAACGGCGGGATGCTCCACACGTTGTTGTCTCGGAAGTACTTGAGCTCCAGAGCGGTGGCGCCCATCACCGCGAAGTTGGCGCCCTGGCTGAAGTTGGTGCCCTTGTTCGCCGACGGCGGCAGCAGCGGCACTCCCAACGCCTCGGCTGCACGCACGCACACATCAATCATTCAATCCAACCATCCATCCCATTCAGCAATTCACGTGTAGGTGTAAACAAACATCCGAGCGATCGATCGACGGCCGAGCAGGCGAGGCGAGTACGTACCCAGGAAGTCGATGACGAGACGGCCGTTGGAGCAGCGGGCGTAGGGCGGCGGGAACTTGGGCATGTTGGGCAGCTTGCCGGAGTTGATGATGACGAAGTTGCCCGTGTCGGAGAAGGAGTCGCCGAAGCTGAATATGGCGTTGTAGTACTGCGGCAGCGGGGCCGCCGCCGCCACGGCCGAAGCGGCGGCGACACACAGGAGGA